GAGATGAGTCACGCAGTGCCCAGTTGTTTTTGTGGCATACAAAGATGGAGACACACAAAACCTCTACTAGCAGTAGCAATTATAGCAATGTTTGTTTGGTATGAATACATACATACATACATACAAGTTCATGTCTTGCGGTTCTCAAGTGTCTGATGTTTACCTTGTGTGGCTCCTCCACAGCTCAGGCTGTGTCAAGCATAATGCACATACACATGTACTTTCTCACACACGCTCAACTTAGGGCCCCTCTGCAAGCTGCAGAATAAACTTGAAGAGGGATGTAGACTAAAATATCTAAAAGGCCACCAGTTGCCCATCTCTGACTTAAACTATTGCCAGTGAATGCCATCCTTGAAATCTTGTCATTTTTATGTCTTTGGTTATTTTCTTGCTGTTATTGTTGGGTGGCAGAGTTTTGTTTTTGGTGTTCTCAGAACAATTTTGATGTAAATTGAAATTATGGCTCACTTGTACCCTATAGAATATCTGAAATACATGAATTGAGCCACAAAGTCCAGAACAGTCAAACCAAGATGTCCCAAAGAAGAGCTTGTGGTAAGAATGCAATTGATTAAAGACTTTGAAGCTGCTGTTTAAAAAGCTGATAATTTGATCATCTTTCCAAAAGGACTCACAACTTTGTCCCTATTGTGTCTCCTCTCCCCATTCATCCACCTTCTTAGCATTCATGGTATTAGCATGATGCACTTTCATGCTTTTGGCTGCCTGTTTACACCTGAAATCCATAAGGGGGAAAAAAGAAACAGAAAAGAAGTGGAACCTCCCAGAACATGAATGTTCATGTACATCTGGTGCTCACAAGGCCTCTGCTGACCTCTGCCATCCAGAAATTTGTTTCTAATCAATACAGGGTTTACGACTGCAGAATAAATGCCTGTCAGGTGTAATTAATGATGGATTATGTTGCAAGATTTGCATGGGAAACCTACTGACTACAAAGAAGATCAGAATGAGCAGAACTCATATTACTTCAGCTTTGCCACAATTGGCCAAGGAAAGGTGAGCTCAAGGAACACCCTGCCAGATAATGGCCTTTCAACGTCATTCATTCAAGGTAATGTTTTTCTTCCGGCATTACCCCAAACTATATTTAACCAGCTCTTGTGGAATCTTAAGTTTCTTATTGTATTGTCTCCCTTACCTTCGCATAGAAATTTCCACTACTCTGCAGTTTTATGGTATAAGAACTTGCCTAAAATCATATGTGCTTCTCTTTGAGGTTTTATTTAATGAGAACCTGTATTCTCTCCCTGTGAACAGTAGCTGTGGAGACGCATGAGTAACTGCTTAAATGCCTTTCCGGACCAGTGGAAGAAGCTCTGATCCAAATGAGGCTGACCCACTGGGTTTAAGAGGCGGGCTTTTTTCTAGCCCCACCCAGTAAAGTGCCTATAATGCCAAAATGCACTTACTCTCAGAACATGCACTAAATATTTCGGCACAGAAATAGGAACACAAGCCTGTTTCCTCAATCTGCATGCTTGCATTTTGTTTTACATACATTACTTAAGGCTCGTTTACACATGCAAGTCTTTGTTGAACAATCAAGCATCATATGAGATGGGCAAAACAATCCAACCCCTTGGGAAAGGTTAGCTGGCAGCTTGTTAGATGTGGCAATGGGACACAGTTCTCACTCGGAGTCCTTCTCTCCTTTCTTCCCCGCAGAAAGTACTGGTGGAATGGTGGTGGTAGCAGGCCTCAAAATGCGATGCACTGGGGAACGAAAAGCCCTCATACTTCCTTGCAATGCTCACTGGCCTGGAGGTGGAGTAGTTATTTTCTCACTTCTGCATACAGACAAAGGGCGGGGGGAGGCAAAATCTGTTCCCTACGTTGGCAGTGCTTGGGAAGCCATGCTTCCTCCATCAGGGAAATTCCCACCACCACACTGTCCTAACCTTAGTCTTGCTTAGTGAGGCTTCATAAAGCCAAACATCAGAGACAGAATGTTCCTGTCCCCACAACTGTACTGCTTTTCAGAAAAGACGGCTCATGCATTTAGCTGCGATTCATCACACACTTCTACTGCCAAAAGTCTGGCCCTTTAAGATGCCTGGAGACTCCCTGAGAAGGAACTACACTTAAGCCAACCTGAGTGAACCTCAGTTAGCATTCTTAATCATTAACATCTGTGTCCACAGTCCTTAACTCCAGCTGAGCCCAGCATCATTGGAAGAACAATAGCAAGCAATGGGGCTTTCTGAAGAGAAGTTCATGCTTGAGAAGGAAGGCTCTTGTAGCACGGAATGTTCCTGTTTCTGTGGACTGGATAGGTGCATGGCTAATCTTATTTCTGTGTTAGGCGAGAAGAGAAGAGAAGTGAAGCTGTTCTATCACCTCTGCTGAGGGACTACTTGCCTTTGGATCTCCCCTAATGTCATCTAAGAGCCACCATTCGATCAGGCCACTTGATTTATTTCCTTCCTAGATGGTTGAGATAAGAACTACCATTTTAGGAAGGAGTTTTGGAGCTTCTTTTCTCCTCCCCCTCCTCATCACCATTTGCCTTGTGTGCTATTTTTCTTTTCTTTTTTTTAATACCGAAAGTACAAGGATAGGGATTGGGTTGGTACTGATATCTGTAAAAGGCCTGAGGAGCCTTTTTTCTCAAAAGAAGGGAAGCGCTGCCTTGAAAAATAAGTCATGAGTCACCTTGTGAAAAGCAAACCACAGATTAATCAATGCAGGACATGTGATTGAGGGGAAGTGAATGCAGCCAGTGTGGACAGAGCCCACAGGAAGACTTGAAAAGTCACCTGCCAAAAGCTGACATTAGGTGGCCACTCAGAGTAGAAGCATCTTCATCATCCTATCAATTCATGTACTCGTAACAATAGCAGTCATGCTCACTGCGGGGGACGACCCCTCTATTAGCAGGCTGATCAGTAGAAACCGTGATTTAGGGTCTGTGCCCACCACACTAAGCTCTCCAATTCTGCAAAGTTTGGCTCATTGTTGGTATGGCATGAGCATCTGCAAAGTGCAGCAGCAAAGTATTTATGAGAAGAGCTGCTGACTGGGAGGGCGGAGGCCTCTTCCTTGAAATGAAGCCTTCCCTAGCTGGGAGATGGGCTGCAAGGCTTGCAAGTCAGCTGCTGAGGGCAGGGAGATGCTCTTCTGTAGGCACTGCTTCTGCTGCCCTGGGAAGGAACTGCAAGTGTTTGCAGAGCACATGCCACGCATGCACAAGGTCCAGGGTTCAATCCCTGGCATTTCTAGGTGTTTACTTTCTAAATCAGCCTGTAGGAGATGGGCAAAACCGTTGCTCTTGGAAAGCTCCAGTCAAAGAAGACGATGCTGAATAAGGTGGACAAAAAACCTGGTGGGGTAAAAAGCAGCTTTCCTTCCACCTTTGATGGAAACGACTCTCCTGACAAGGCATGTTGGCAAGAGATGCAGATCTGCCAGTTAAGGACAGCTCCAGCTCAAGTGTGAGGGTCAACCCACTGATTATTTCAACTGGGTAGGAGGAACAGTTTGTCCTTTCCTACACACACACTCTTTCTGCACCCAGTCCAGAAGGGGCCTGCTGATCAGTAACTCCCCATGGGAACTGGTTCCGTTAGCATCAGCTATTGCCAAGCGATATCCTGGGGAACAAGCTTCCTGTAACTTCAGTAAACAAGGGAGCTTTCTGATGTCTGTGCAGTCTACTCATGATTATGTAGATGTCTGCACAAAACCTAAGTTCTCAAGCTCACAGTGGGGGATGTTGGGAGCCACAGAATATAAATGTCAAAATTGCTTTAACTTTCAGATTGTAATCAGTGCATCAGTCCCAAAGAAGAAAGAAATGGCAAGATTAGAAACTGTTGTACTAACTTAATCAGGTAAAGGCTCCTTCTAAGCGTCTCCTCTTTTGAATAGAATTGCTGTCTTATGTTGATTCTCATTTTAAACAGAAGCTAGACCATGGGGGTGAGTGAAAAATCTGCCTCCCCACTTTTTGACCTCTCCTCATTTCCTTAGTGCTCCATGCCAGGGATGGAAGAGCTGCTGCATGAAGAAGGGGGCAAGGAAGTCCACTCCCATCATTACAGTTGCTCCAGTCTAAATCTGGACCCAGCCCAATGTCCCTGCCAGACTGTTCTTTTCCAGTGTTTTCAGTTGTGTCCTCCTGTCTCCCCCTCTCCTATTCAGGACTGATTTTAAATATTTTCTTCATTTTTGATACCATTGCAATGCCATTCTATTCAGTGTGTTCTTATGGAATGCAACTGTGCCTTTACATTTTTATTTGTATGCAAATCTGTTAATGAAATGTCATATAGGATAAAAGGTATAAAGGATGAAGCTTTTCAGTATAATCAGGAACCTACATAACTTATTTGTTGCAGGACTACTCCATGGCAGAAAACAGGCTGGGAATGAGGGGTTGAATATATAAAAAACAAGTCTTTGCACACATAAAACCAGTGTGTTGAACGGAAGGATTGTAGGCTAGTACCCTCAGTGAGATGTTATTTTTGTCTGAAATGCTGTCTAATATGGCAAAGTCCAGTAATACATGCATTCTCTGAGGCTGCTAACTATGTTCTCTTTCACAGAAATCTTACTGAAAAAAGAAGAAAGGAAAAAAGCAGACCTAACCACAAAAATAAAACAAAACAAGTACTTCAACCAGACAGGAGTTCTTGCAATGTGTCTGCTGAATAAATACTCCCCCCTCCCTTTTAATAGGCATTGACTAGAAAAACAGCTCACTGTCCTATCTTAGAGAAGCTAAGCAATACATTCTTCTGAAGAATTAGGTTTATTGGCAGTGTGACAGGATGTTAATTAAATTTTCACATGTTTTAGGGAAATTCCACTGGACTTAGTTCCATTAAAATATATTCTGAAGAAAAAAAGAACAACATCTGTTAGAAAAGCAGCCATGTTCACTGCACTTACAATTACCAATGTTCCAGGTGGACAAATTGCCACAGTGGGGCTGAGGGAAGGGGAGGAAAACCAGATGAATTCAACAGTACCTTCCCATATCTGGATGCAAAGGTTCCCGTAAGTAAGGAGTGAAAAATAATTATTGTCTCGTCCAAGTCCCACACAAACACACGCTGTGATGAAAAAGAGGGATGGGAAAGAAACAGACAAAATTCACACCAGTTAATTGCAGAAATAAACCCATTTGCTTTACATAACTACATTATGCACATTCCTACCTGTGCCCAGCTCCATTATGTCAGTTTTTCTGCTCCCTGAAATGACTCTGCCCTTTTTCCCTTATACCCTTTATACCTGGAACTGCAGCTTTCCTCTACAGGATGCCATTCAGATGGCTTGGACTTCAACTTCCATCAGCCCCAGTTAGTATGGCCAACAGTCAAAAATGCTGGTAGTTGTAGCGGAAAGCCCCATGATGGAAGAAACCCTGTGTGAGCCCTCACATCCCTGATTTAGTTCAGAGTCCTCCTCCAAACACCTTTTCTGTGATGTCAGAATGACCTCTGCTCCCAGTACCGTACTGTAATTAAGTCGGAACATATATAATGAAATCTGCATGTGCCCTTTGCTATCTTCATTTTGTTCCCCTTCCTCTGTCATTTTGCATGTATCTGCTTTTAGAATGTTAGGCCCCTGGTGAAGGAAATGTGACACCTATTCTTGTAAAATACCATATAAATAAATAATGCATTCAGGTTAAGGGAGGGAATAAGATCACTTCATGGGTACATTAGATGTTTCCCCTTTACCCACATTTTTAAAGTGGAGTAAACCCCAATGAATAGTAAATAGTACTGTCCCATTTGTCCTTGCTTGCTGGTCATGGCTTCCCTCAAAGGGAAATTTTCCTTTTGTGAAGTGCTGAGATTTCTCTTCTAGACATTCTCTACCTTCCCTTTAAAAAAATCATAATTCATAGAATTTATAATGAAGAAAAAATTAAACAAATTTAGGTTTCTGGGCTGATGCTTCCTTACCTTGGTTACATGGAAACTCAAGTGTTATTATTCATTATTTTTGGGACTAATTTTGATTGCTGCAGGAGAAAGCCAGGCTGTCACAGTACACATAGGAAGAGATCATGAAGAGATGGAGACAGTCCCATCATCAGCACCCAACAATCTTAGGGAGCTGCCGGGGCCCCAACAACCCAACTAGGCCCACCAGCACAGATGTATACACCTGGCTACAGGTTAACTGGCTGGTCACAGCAGCAAAGGAGTATTTTAATTTCCCACGGTGCTCCTCAGATAGCATCCCCTTGGGGCATTGTGGAAATTAAAATGGCTGTCCATGGCTGCAGCCACAGGAAGGCAACTCAAGACTGGAGAGGTGTCTGTGGCAGCTAGCTAGAAAGGAAATAGCACAGATTCAAGACACAAACATAACGTTTGCACTAAAGACCCATATTATGTCTGCTAAGTTTCTCACCAAAGGGATATGCAGCAATAGTATCAGTTTTGAAACATATTCTAATCATAACTCATGAGAAGAAAAGGGAACCAGAAGGATGTTATCTGCAAACCAGACACACTATATGTGATGTGGTAATTATATTATTTCAATGAAGCGCCTTGTGATTGCACCCTCCTAGATGTTTCCAAGTGCATAAGAAAGGAGCAAGAGCAGAGAAGAAACCCTCTGGGACGCCTACCTCAATTTCCGTGTCGGCTGTTGGGGAGGGATCATTACTTCTTTTTGATCGCCCTCGTAGCTTCCCGTCAGTCCCTCTGGGCTGCCTGTCTGTTTCTGTGTCTTTTACAGGTGTTGTATATTCACCTGTAGGTATAAAAGGAACTCTACTGAAAGCCAGCATCTCAGATATGGGTCTTGCAACTGTTTAACAACTGCACAATAACACTGTTTCCTTTGGCAGCTGTAACCATTACAGATTCTTTTAATAAAGGTTCTGGATCCCTCTTCATACCAAGTGGGGCAAGGGGACAAGTAAATAAAGAACAAACAATTTTCAGCTTGCTGTTATTTGCTTGTGGCACTCAGAACTTAAAATCAGGCCTTTGTCTATAATGTAGGGCTGTGAAGAGTCCATTTTTATGCTTGAATAGAGCCATGGAAGGGAAGCCTTCCCCATCTTATGCTATGCTGCTTGACAAACACACACAGACACATGCATCCATGAACCATTTGAGCCGGGCTTGGGAAGAGAAGGGAATGAATGCATCTAGAGTAGGGGGCAAAGTGGAAGAGCGGTCTGTGTTTCAGTTCTGTTTCCACATCCACCTCCTTCCCTGCCCCCAGTTTATAGCCAGACTAGCACCTGCATGTTTAGCAAACAGAGGTCATGCACATCTGGTTTGCCCCTTGGCTCCAAATAACAAGATCTATGAGTAATCACACATCCAGGCTGTTGGGTTTGAGTAATGGTAATATTCATGCATAAATCACCTTGACTAGAGCCCCCATGACAACCATGGGATTGCCCCAACAGGTCACCAGCACAGTACATGTAGCAGGGCACAATCTGGATTTGATTTTTTGGCTAGACATAAGGATGGTGTTTGGAAAGTGGGGAGCTCTGATTTTGTCCCCTTGTCCCTTTACCATAATCAGATCACTGCTTGCTGAGATTTAGAGCGATGCTGGCCTCTCCCCTCTTGGGGAAGGAGGTATTAATATGGTCCACCCCTAGAAGCTAGGGGATACAGAACGTTTCCAGAGGGCTTGGAGGTGTTTTGGTTGATAAGGCTGGTGAGCCTCTCAAAGCCCGGACTGATGTGTGGAACTAAGACAACCTGGGCAGTTGACATGGCCCTCTGTAGTTGAGTTCATACAGCCCCATGGTATCTCCTAGAATGGAGTGCAATGAAACAAAATAGGCTTGAGTGGAGAAAAACTCCTAGTGGACCCCATCAATCCCTGTTATGTGCTTATAATCAGGCGTGCTTGGGGATAACAAAGAAACAACATCTCACCAACTTTGTTCAATCTATTTGCCACTCAGCAGACTTTTAGGATAACCCAGAGACTATACCTGATTACCTCAAGAACATCATTGACCTGTCTGAGATATGTCGTAATATATTTGCCAGGCACTTCCAGGATAAAGTATCTTGCATCCACCAGGACTTAGACTGCAGTGTTATAGGAGCTGAATCAAGTGAGACACCCAGAGCACAAACTAGTTTAGATTTCTTGAGTAAATTTCAGTTGGTACAGGTCAAGATGTGGACAAGGTGCTTGGATCGGTTTGTGCAGCCACTTCCTTTTTGGATCCATGACCTTTCTGGGTTATAAAATAATTTAATTGTTGGGCGACCGAGACAGATTGGGGATTCTGTTGGTGTACCGTGCACCCTTCTGCCCAACAGTCTCCCTGCCTGAGCTGACGGAGATCGTCTCGGACCTGGTGTTGAGGACCTCCAGGATGTTGGTCCTGGGGGACTTCAATCTCCATGCCGAGACTGGTCTGACCAGGGCGGCTCAGGACTTCATGACCTCCATGGTGGCCATGGGGCTGTCTCAATATGTCACCGGCCCAACCCATGAATGTGGACACACCCTGGACCTGGTTTTCTCGATGGGGCAGGAAGAGGGTGGTCTGAGGGTGAAGAATTTATGCCTGACATCCCTGTCATGGTCAGATCACTTCCTGGTGAAGTTTGTGCTCGAGAGTGGCCTCTCCCTCTGTAAGGGTGCAGACCCGATTGTGTGGGTCCGCCCTCGGAGCCGGATGGATCCGGATGGATCCGGATGGATTCCTGAAGGCCCTGGGGGAGTTTCCGGTTGACAAGACTGGTGCTCCTGTTGAGGCCCTGGTCGAACTGTGGAACGGGGAGATGACCAGGGCTGTTAACACGATTGCTCCTAAGTGTCCTCTCCTGCCGGGCAGAGCCCACTCTTCCCCTTGGTATACACCTGAATTGCGGGCGATGAAGCAGGCTGGGAGAAGTTAGAGCGTAGGCGGAGGAAATCATGGGATGAATCTGACCGAACACACTTAAAAGCCCATTATCGGGCCTATGCTGTGGCGGTGAGGGCGGCGAAAAAGAAATTCTTCTCCATCTCCATTGCCTCCTCAAAATGCCGTCCAGCGGAGCTTTTTCGAGTGGTGCATGGCCTGGTTTATCCTGGCCCCAAGAAAGATCTGGTTTCACCCTCGAAGGCCCACTGTGATGACTTTGCCAAGCATTTCAGGGAGAAAATCGCTCAGATTCATCACGAGCTAGACTCTACTAGTGACTCAGAGGTTTCTGGGGAGATACCAATGCCGCCGCCAGGTCCAAAATTAATGGATGAATTTCAGTTATTGCGGCCTGATGATGTGGACAAGGTGCTTGGATGAGTACGTCCCACCACTTGCCTATTGGACCCTTGCCCGTCTTGGTTAATAAATAACGCCAAGCACGGGATTGGGATCTGGATCGTGGAAGTGGTTAACGCTTCTCTGAGGGAGGGTCGGGTACCTGCCTCTTTAAAGGAGGTGGTAGTCCGACCGGTCCTAAAGAACGTGTCACTAGATCCAGAGATGGCCACTAATTATAGACCAGTGGCCAACATCCCGTTTTTGGGCAAGGTGTTGGAACGGGTGGTGGCGGGACAACTCCAAGCACGAAACTGATTATCTGGACCCATTTCAGTCCAGCTTCAGACCCGGGTACGGTACTGAATCTGCCTTGGTCGCCCTGTATGATGACCTGTGCAGGGAGAAGGACAGGGGGAATGCATTCCTGTTGGTTCTTCTGGACCTCTCAGCAGCTTTCGATACCATCAACCATGGTATCCTTCTGGATAGGCTAGCAGGAGTGGGGGTTGGAGGCACTGCTCTGCAGTGGTTCCGCTCTTATCTCAATGACCATTTCCAGAAGGTGGTGCTGGGGGACTATGGCTCTGCGCCATGGCAGCTATGCCATGGAGTACCGCAGGGGTCCATTTTGTCCCCTTTGCTGTTTAACATCTACATGAAACCGCTGGGAGAGGTCATCAGGAGGTGTGGGCTGCAGAATCATCAGTACGCTGATGATACCCAGCTCTACCTCTCGTTTTCCACCAATCCAGGTGAGGCAGTGGCTGTGCTGAACCGGTGCCTGGCCGAGGTAATGGGCTGGATGAGGGCCAATAAACTGAAGCTCAATCCAGACAGGGCAGAGGTCCTGTTGATCGGCGGATAGAGCTTCGGTGAGGGTGAATTGAACCTAGTCCTGAATGAGGTTGCACTCCCTCTTAAGACAAGGTCCGCAGCTTGGGAGTGCTCCTCGACCCAGAGCTTTCACTGGAAGCTCAGGTGACAGTGGTGGCAAGGAGCGCTTTCTTTCAGCTTCGGCTGATCCATCAGCTGTGCCCCTACCTGGAGTACGACTGCCTGGCGACAGTGACACACGTGTTGGTGACTTCCCGATTTGACTTCTGCAACGCGCTCTACGTTGGGCTACCCTTGAAGATGGTCCGGATACTTCAATTGGTTCAGAATAGAGCTGCCAGGCTGTTGACGGGGACTGGGCATTATGCTCACATGACTCCAGTCCTCTGTCAGTTTCACTGGCTTCCCATTGAAGTCCGGGCCCAATTCAAGGTGTTGGTGATCACTTATAAAGCCCTAAATGGCTTGGGTCCTGGCTACCGGAAGAAGCGCTTACGTCCATATATGCCCGCCTGCCCCCTGAGATCAGCGGGAGAGGCCCTTCTCCGGGAACCTTCCGTGAAGGAAATTAAGAGGATAGGTACTCGGAGGAGGGCTTTCTCTGCGGCGGTGCCCAATCTATGGAATGCGCTCCCCAGAGAGGTCCGCCTGGTGCTGTCGTTATTTGTTTTTCAGCGCCAGGCGAAGACCTTTTTATTCAAGCGTCATTTTAATTGTTAATGTTATTTTTATTTTAAAGTTTTTTGGCCAGGGCGACTTGTTTTATACAGTTACGTGTATTTTATATTGTTATTTATGTATTTTAATTTATTTATTTGTAAGCTGCCCCGAGGCTTTGGCGAATAGGGCGGCCTAGAAATTTTCTAAATAAATAAATAAATAAAATAATTTAATTGGGACAGGGAGGTGATCAATGCCTCCTTGTGAGAAGTGGTCTCATGTCACCTGGAAAGTTGCCAGTAAGGTCAGTCCTAAAGAAATCCTATCTGGACCTTGAAGACCTCAAAAACTTTAGGCTGATGGCAAATGTTCCTTTTCTGGGCAAGATTCTTCAGCAGATGTAGCCAACTACAAGAACTCTTGGATAAGACCAATTAGATGGATTCATTTTGGTCAGGGTTCTGAAAAAGATTTGCCATGGTTTCTGGTCAGGTTTGGTTGCCCTGACCACTGTGATTTGAAATGTATTGCATCCATGATTTATATTTTGAAATATTCAGAAGTAGGTGTCCTTTGTGGAAAGGGGAAGAATTTTATGTATACAGAGGCATACAACGTATTTGCTGTTTTCATAGACTTAAAGTGACTTGGAGAAAAGTGAATGGAGAAAAGTGAATGGAGGAAACTGTACAAGCAGAAGAAACTATTCTCCAAGCTAAAATAATTTAATACTAATATGTTTTTTTTAAACTAGAAACTAACTTAATGGCGATGGATTCATCCCAGCTGAGAAGTGAATGGGTTGGAGGATCTTATGTAACAGATACTGCAACAAGGTTCAAAGGGCTAGTGATTTTAATTTATAAATGACTTGTGTTTACGGTTCAGCAGACTAATATTGATCCTGATGGTTAGTTTTTGATTGTGGTCAGAAAATATAATGAGAAAGTATTTGCTTTGATTAATGTGGAACTCTTAATAATGACTATCCAGGTATATGACATAAGTGAAGATACATCAA